TTTTTTTTTCCCAAAAAAGGTTTAATGAGGCGGTTGTTGTGTAAATAATCATTCAAGGAGGAATGTTGTAAATCAATGATTATATGTGAATGATTAATGTGCTCATGCAGTCTCAATTCTTATCTATAAATATATGACATTGGTTGTCAATAAAATACACATAAATCTATTAATCCTCTCTATTCTTTTTTCTCTCGCTAATTCATAATATCATCCATTTTTTTTAACATATAACCACCCTTCTCGCCACATTTCCTAGTTGTTGAGGTCTTTTTAGATCGTCACTAATTTGAAGAGAATATTCCTTGTTGAGAATTCTTTCCTGTGCTCACAACCAAGCATTAGAAGGCAAGCAAAAAAATGTAGAATTTGTACGAGTATTGAAGATTCCAGTCCCTTACCTCAATTATAAAGCTGAGTTGGGATGCATGATCTACTCAATCACTAATAAGGCCTGGACCTTGGTTTATAGTTTGTTGATTTCCTTCTAGATTCGAGGGTACAAATCACTCTCGCTGACTGAAGCAATCCATCAAGAATATGGTCTCACGTTAGCACATGTTGAATTATAGAGACGGATAGATGTGGACTTGTGAAAGGGAAAATTAGACTGGGTACCCTAAAAAAGATAACAAATTAGATAAGTACCCCTAAAACTAATTATACTTCTTAATCCCGTAATTAATATGTGAAAACCCCCCAAATTCCAAAAACTCCAGAGAGTCCGACCTTCATCACCAGGCACCTGCATTGCCGTCTTCAATTGCTCCTCCCCCTGCCTCGCCACCCACCTCCAAAACAATCCATCACCATCATCCCCCATCTATACGCAACTGCTACTAAACAATCCATCACCATCATCCCCCATCTATACGCAACTGCTACCTCAAAATTTTCAACAAAAAGTAAGTTCATATCACCAAATGATGTCACCATATGCACACACTCTTCTTACATCAATTGCAGCACAAGAGAAAGAAGCAGGTAAAACTTGTGGTCAAGCCGCTACCCTCCACGGCGTAGTCGGTGGATGTGGTGATAAAAGTGGCGCGGCAAAGGAAGCGAATAGTGGGACAAGGGTAAATGTATAGTATTGAATTGGTCTTGGAGTTTGGACTTGACCCACCGAGATTCCGCTTGTGGGTCGAACCCATTGCTGATGGGTGTAATGATGTCGAAAGAGAGCGTGAGAAAGAGGCTCGAATCGGAGTAGGGAATGATAAAATACCTCAATGAGAGTGAGAACCTCCCAGAACTGAGAATCTCGGTCGACACTTCGCATTTTCCTTACAAGAACAAGCAGGGACACCGATCTGCCATTCAAATTTCTCAAATTGCATCGGAGACATTAAAATTAGGGATATTTTGAAAAATCCTCCACCCTGAAATCATCTGCCCCAACCATGGAGGAGCAAGAGGTGGTGGTGGACTTGGTGGAGGACCGGGAGGTGGAGCTGGCGATGGACTGGGAGGAGGAGCTAGGGGTAGACTAGGTGGAGGAGCAGAAGATGGTGGTGGAATTGGTGGGAGTAGCGATGGATGTTTAGGCGGTGGTGTAGGTGGTGTAATGTTAGTTAACCAATTGAGGGGATTTTCAATTGATGATGGAATAACAGTGGATAATAAACCAATTGCTTCAATTGATAACCACGTGAAATGGCTCCTTTTCATTGTATAGTTCAGATTAGGATTTGTGGTATGATTTTGGTGGTTCTTGGTGAACAATAACTCAATTCTTGCATAATTGTTT